GAGAGAGAGAGAGAGAGAGAGAGAGAGAGAGAGAGAGAGAGAGAGAGAGAGAGAGAGAGAGAGAGAGAGAGAGAGATGTCTCATATGATGGAATGATGGATGGTACGAATGTGAAATATATGTCTCGTTTTCTCCATTCTAAGTGAAATGATTTTTTTTTATTTTTATTTTTTTATTTTTTTTTTGCTCTCATAGTAGAATGTGGAATATGATCTTTGACAGACAGTACAATGAAGCTTGGGCCTTCCTCCGCTTCCCCTCCCTCCCTTTGTTTTTTAAACTTTTTTTGCTTTCATGCTTGATCTGAAGGCTGCCAGTTCGGTTTTTTTTTTTTTTTTTTTTTTTTTTTTTTAAGCTATATTCTTCTCTCAATTTCACCTCACACTACCTACGTACCACTTCTCCTAATTGTAGGCATAGGCATAGCAGCCAGAAACCGTGTTCACGAGAGACCATGCGGGGGCTGCTCCCGACCTGCAGGTGGGCGATACCGGCCAAGGGACAGCCGGTAGCATCAGGAACCATGCCAACAGGACCAATCCCTGTGCCTCACCATGCCAACATGACCAATCCCTGTGCCTCACATGCCAACATGACCAATCCCTGTGCCTCCCCTCAGGTGGTGGTCCCCTCCGCTACGAACATCAGCAGACTCTGCTCAATGCTGATCGGGGGATCCAGTGGTCTATCTCAACGTATGGTGATTATAGCTGAATTTAGACTGAAAGATTCACCAAATTCAGCTATAATGACCGTACGTTGCATTCGGCGGAAGACTGTAGGTGGCGGGCGCCAAGCATGGCCAGGTAGGTACCAACGGGGATTGAACCCACGACCTCCTGAATGCCACTTGCGAGCCTTAGCAACTGAGTTAGGCCACTTTCCCCCCTGTCTTCCTGGCAGAAGAAACAAACGAAAAATTTGGCCCCCTTGCTAGCCACATGAGACGAAAAGAGACTGATTTTTGTTTTTCTTGGTTCAACTTGGGTGATTGCCTGAAAACACAGAAGTCTTAGAACAGATTGAGAAAATTAGTTGGTTAAAAAACACAAAAAAGGTTGTCATTTGTGTCATGTCATGTCATGTCATGTCATTCAGATAAGATAGCACAAAATGTGAGGCTTTACTCTCGAGGAGGACATAATGTGCTACAACAAAAAATATATCAACGTGCAAGACTGCACGTCGCATCGCCCTTCTGCCTCGTCCACTCAGGCGAAGAAATCTTCCGAGTTTCTACTTAAATAGTCTTCCGACCTACTCAACATCACTCCAAGTCCCCATCTCGTCACCCGCCATCATCCTTCATTCCGTGATCACCTGTCGATACCCTCGGATTCATAATAGACGTCGATCCTCAGAAAAAGCATCATCGCAGTACCCGATACTGCCTGTAATCATGGGCCAATGAAAGTAGTCCAGTCCGACTGCAGTTTTGTATCAATCAGCGAGGAAATGGTTGTATCTATGGGACGCTGGACCCGGTTTCCAGCAGGTGCTGCTCCCCACCAATAGATGGAGCTTGTCTTTTTCAAAAAAAAAAAAAAAAAAAAAAAAAAGGTTAGTGTCGGAGATCCCATAGTCCAGTCAGGTTTAATCTATGAATGTGGCCCAGTCTGCCTGTAGACTCATTAGTGTCGGAGCTCCCTTAGTGTTGCCGCCAGTGTTCACGGTCCGCAGTCAGGCTTAATATCATTAGTGTCAGAGATCTCGATCTTAGGAGGTCCCTAACGTAGGGTGCTATGGTTATACCCGTTGGCTCAGATCAGGCTCCGTGAAATTCAGAGAGGTACCCGTTCTTGTCTGATCAAAAGTGCACATTTATGTATTTATTTATTTATTTATTTATCTACTTGTCTGCCGGCACCTGCAAATGCAACCAACGCAGGATCTTTGCAGCTGTCTTTCTGCTCATCCTCCGTCTTCTGATGGCCAAGACTACGCGCCTCAATATACACGCCGGGTAACCCAACTGTCGAGCTTCAGCAAAGAACCATTTGATGACACTCACCGTATCTGACTGGTTCGCGGAATTTGTGAGAATAAGATGCAATGTACCAAGTACCGTGATTTCTTTTGCTTTCAAAGGACCGAAACTCTTGAAGTGTTTAATCGTGTGGAACCGACCAAAAAAGGTTGGTTGAATGGGATCACAAAACCGAAACCAGATGCATGAGACCT